CGAACAGTAAAAGCGAAGAGAAGAATTTCCTTGAACCACTGACTGATTTGGAACTTTGTGCTGCAAAATCGCATCTTGAATTTTCGTTCGAGGATATCAAGGTATGCATTCGGTTTTTATTGAAATTAGCTAAGATAAATTCTTATGAAATTGTTGGGTCCAGTTTTATCAACAAAATATGCAGCAATAAAACTTCAAACACTACAAGAACAAAGATAGTACAATACGTTACGGCACCAGCACAAAATAACAGACAGACACTCCGACAAGGGATCCACCTTGTTGATCATCCATGCAGTGCCGCGATTACAGCTTCCAGTGATAGCGCCGTCTTACCATTCCAGTACCCTTCTTCTATAACGCAGATCGCTTAGGAGGAGGAAGGGTGGGGGAGAGGGGGGGAGGGCGGAGAGGGAGGAGGGGGAAGGGGGAACATACTAACGAAAGGCACGGTCACCGCAAAATTTTTGGAAGTCTTCTTTTGGCCTCCGATGAAAATAATTCTAACACCAAAAGAAAATTTTGAATATGCTTATTTTAATGCGTTTTGTGCTGTGTAACAGCAGTACAAAACGCATATTGTTACGGGGTTGTCTGTGTGGTGTTTGTGTGTGTGTGTGTGTGTGTGTGTCCGCAGCAACTTGCCGCAACTTTCAACTCGGGAACCACAAAAGCTAGGAAGCTGAAAATTTAGGGCAACGTTCCCCACCCACTTGTGACTCCGCAAATTTAAATTCTGCCTCGCTGTACCACGGGTAACACGTACGGCCTCGTAGAAGTCTAGGCGGGTAAAATTATCACGAAAACTATAGAAATTAGAAGGCTGGAATTTTGTGAGCATGTCCCCTGCCCACGTGCTACCCAGAAGATTTAAAATCAGCTTTCCTCTGCCCGTAAGCAGCACGGGCGGCCCTGTGAAAATTTTGGCGGGCAAGTTATCATCTCGGGGATCACGGAATCTACGAAGCTGAAGTTTGAGGCAGTGATCCCCTGCCCACACTCGACCTTGCAAATCCAGCGTTCTCGCTCTCTCAGGAATCACCTGCGTCCCTGTGAGAAAGTTCCTGCAGGCATATTATTATCTCGGGAACCACGAAATCTAGGAAGCTGAAATTTTATGGATATGCTCCCTGCTCACATACGACTTTTCTCAAATTTAAATTCAGCCTTCTCGCGCTCGCGAGTAACTTATACGGCCTCGTGAAACTTTTGGCGGGTAAATTATTATTTCGAGAAACAAGGAATGTGGGTAGCTGAAATTATGGCTCCCTGCCTAAATACGACGTCTCAAATTCAAATTCAGCATTCCCACGCTCTCGAGTATCACACATGGTCCCGTGGAAATTTTGGCGAGGAAATTATTATCTCGGGAACCAGAGAAACCAGGAAGCTGAAATTTTACAGTAATGTCTTTTGTCCACATACAGTCCCGCAGTTTTAAAATCAGCCTTCCCGCGCGTCCGAGTATCAATTACGGCCCGTGAAATTTCCGGCGAGGAAAATTATTATCTCGGGGACTGTGCAAGTTGGGAATCTGAAATTTTAGGGTGATCTCCTCTACTAACGTACGACCTCGCAGATTTAGATTCAACCTTCACGCATTCGTGGGTACTACATACGGCCTTGTGAAAGTTCTAGTAAAGAAATTATTTTCTCGTGTGCGTGAAATTTTTAGTAGGGAATTCCGCATTTTAGTAAACAGACAACATTTCAACTATTTTGCACAGACCAAAATGCAAAGCAGTGAAAACCATTAAGGGGCAATCGCTCGGTGGTCGGAATTCTAAAAAACGCATGATTACACCGGCTGCCTTGACTTATTGGTTATTGGTTTGTGTGCGTTTTTGTTTCTTATGCAAATACAAAACATATTGTTAGGTGGTTGTCGGTATATATATATGTATGGACTTTTTCACTCACTTTCAATTCCAGATTGAAAGAGCCAGGAAACTAGTATTTTAAGAGCCCTGACTGCCATCCTTACAGCCTGAATCACCATTCTTCTACGCTCGGACCTCATGCATAAGAGAGAACATGTAAATTTTTTGGCGGGAAACGATTTCGAGAGCCGATTAGCGTGAGAGGCAGAACTTTTGCAATGATTTTCTCTGCCTGTGCGCATCCTAACAATTTCATTTTCTGTTGCGCTTGTCTTTGTGATGATTGCGTCAAAATTCTCTGTTGGCTGCGTGCTAACTCGATAACTTACAGCAGCAATAATTTTGCCAGAACGTTGCTCAGTTTTCCTCGTGTTTCTCTCTCAACATCGTATTCGTCCTTCTGTTTGCATTTTCAATGAATGACTGGTAATAGTTAATTTTTCATTTGCCTTCATGCTGAATTTTCTGTAATTATGCATTTTGATGGTTAAGATTTCATGTGGCCTTTTTCCACCGTACATGCAAAAACAATGCCAAGACAGTGCCAACATAAATGCGTATGTTAAACTATAAAGCAACAACTATTCATATTGTTAACGATCTGACTGCTTCAAATTTGGCGAAAAAAGGCATGATCGCACCTCCTGGTGCGCGTTGCTACCTAAGTTGTTTCTGTTATCGGAAAGCCTCAAAAAGTGGTTCTGTTGACATAAATTAATGCTCCGACTAGTTCCGATTGCTTCCATCACGTGAGTAATGAATAATGATAGGTCTCTTTGTTAGTTCATGCCGATCTTTTTTTCAGACTGGCAAAGATCCAATGCCACAGTACAGTTTAGACCTCCGTACGGAATCGCTGAATCGAGTAACTGTGAGCGAACCATCCGGTCGCCTGGCAATCTGTGGTGGTGAGGCTGGTTTGTTGATTTTCTTGCCCTGCTTTATACGATGATTTTCAGTGCTTTGAAAGATGGATTATTATCAGATGTTTAATTGAAATTTTATCATTTTGTATCTGTTGTTGTTATTGTTGTTGTTTTAATTTGCTTAGAAGAAAAAATTGAGATTTTTTTAAAAGACATTGTTAAAGTTGTGATTTTGAGAGTGGGTTGGTAGAAAATCAAGAAATTTTCAATTTTGGTTAGCTTCGCCAAACCCAA